ATATATATATACATATATATATATATATATATATAATTTCTGAAATATAAAATTCAAATGTATCTTATCAAGAACCAACAAATTTCTAAGTTTAGTAACTTATTAAACATACAATATAAACTAAGAAGAAATGCTTGGATGTTGTCGCTTTCTTCACTTTTTCTGAATAATCCAAATTCAACACCAAAATTGTTCGACGGTTTTGTTTGCTTCAAAATAAATGTCTGTATTCTTTTTAAATAAAAAAATCGTTTACCCAAACGCTTACCCGATAAGTATTTATTAGTATGAGTTAACAATATAATTTATTTTACTAGGTAAGATAGTAGTAAATTAAAACGGTGTCATATACGATAATTTACCCTCACTTACCTAATAAGACTCTCCATTCTTATCACCGCTCTTACCGGGTAAGATTCTCGACACTTGCTATGTTAATCCAGTAAGATAAATTACCCGGCAAACACTCACCGGATAAGTGTTTAGTAAACGGCCCCTAAGTATCTATTTTTAAAAATAAGTTTTCGATTTTTTTATTCTATTCCTAATTACGAGACGAAGAAAGTTTTTTTTTTTTGTCTATTATCAAAAGTTAAAATGTCATTTAATTATTTAAAAATATAATAATTACAGAATCTTAAGAGTATGTGTCATTTTCATTGTGGATATTTATTTTGAGATAAATGGAGTATGATACTATTTTTTTTTTGCTAGAAATGATGTATTTTCAATATTAATCATTCACTCTGTTTAAAATCTTATTATTGTTTTCTTAATATTATAATAAATGTTAAAAATTGGGTTCCTGTGGGAACGAAATTTACAATGAGAAGAGTAAGAAATGATCTTCACTCTTGGATCAATCCTAATTAAAAAGAAACACTAAATCAAGTATAATAAGATACATTAGATCAATTCTCTTCAAAAACACAATTCATGATAAATGTTTACAGTAACCAAACTTAAAAGAACCCAACAAACTAAAGTTAGCTAAGCTATGTGGCTATATTCATAGAATTTGGGAATTAAAAAGGGTAGATAAGTAAATAAATGAAAATACAGTTGAGACCAATAAAGTCATAAATTAAAGAGGTGGGCAAGTAGGTTTGGGGGGCAACAAACAACCGCCCCTATCATTCAATGTAGTTGGGAAGGTCAACAATTTAATGTTTCTTCATTCATCTATCTTCAAAAAAAATTTATAAACCTTTTAATCTTAGTTATAAAACAATATCCTTTTCATATATTAATAACGAAATACAGTTATGAATCAAAGACGAATGATTGTGTGAGAAAAAGAATTAACCATTGATCACTTTTAATCTCATACTCATCCATGAATTGCGTTCTTTACGAGAATTCATCCGGTGCATTTCGTTAGTGTTGATCTTCTGTTAAGATTAGATTCGTTTTTACGCTTCTTACTATGAATTATCTTCTGATCGGAACCCAACCCTATGATCCAAATAGATCCATCGTTATACAAGTCTTAGGTGCCGTTTACCAAACGCTTACCTGGATAAACGCTTATCAAGTCACATTACTTTACCGGATGAATATGGTAATGACAAAAAATCTTACCCAGTAAGAGCGAAGACAAAAATTAAGAGTAGGCATGGGAATTGGCCCCGACCCGTTGGGGAACCCGGTCTACCCGCGCCGGTCGGGGACGGGGACGGGGATTCCCCGTTAAACCGGATCTCGGGGACGGGGATCCCCGTTTGGCACAAACCGGGGATGGGGACGGGAACGGGTATCACACTCCCCGCCCCGTATATATATATATATATATATATATATTATTTATTTCCATTAAATCGGTAAATGGTAATTTCTATTTCAATATATTTTGGATATTACTCAATATGTTTTGGTATATGTGACGTTAATTTTTCTAGATTAAATTTTTTTGTTTTGTTTTCCATTGTTAATTATTATATAATGATGCATATTTTTTGTATTAAATTAAATACCTTTTGATTTTAGGTTTATTGAAAAAATGTGAAATTTAAATATGTGTAACGTCTCAAACATTTGATTAATTTTTTTTACACAAACATGAAATAAAAAATCCCCGTTTCCCCGTTGGGGACGGGGATGGGGATGTGATCAAAATCTCCGATGGGGATGGGGATGGGGACGGGGATTGGGGTCCCCGCCCCATCCCCGTCCCATTACCATCCCTAATTAAGAGTCTTACCCAATAAGTAAGGATAACAACTCTTACTATGGTTAGCGCTTATGGGGATAAATTGTTGCATACGATGCGTTTTGATGAATAAAATTTTACCCGATAAGTAAGCGATAATGTTGAATTTTACCAGTAAGCGCTTACCAGGTAAATGTTTAAGTAAACGGCCCCTTAGAGCATATCTAATAGATTCTTTAAAAAAATCTGAAGTGAAGAATCAAAATCTTTAAAAAGAAGTTACAAATTGAAGCATGTTATCAGTTTTGTAGATTATAACATTAATTATATTATTAAAATATTTCATATATTTAATGAAATATTAAACTTTTTCTTTTAAACATTTAATTTCAAAGCTTTTTATTGGTGATAATATATAATAAATAAATATTTTTCTTTCAAAGCATCTACAATGGAGGTTCTTGTTGAATTTCATGTTAGGGTTTTTATAAGAACTTGTACTACGAGACAGGGGTTATTGTCTACATTCTTTTTTAATTTTTTTTATTGTTTTTGAATTATTTTATTTTATTTTTATAAATCTATAAAACATATAAGTTAAAATTTATAAACGATATAAACTAATTATTATAAAATATATTTATTAATTTT